AAATGGAATTTCCTAAAATCATATCTCAAGCCTAAACATGCATTGGAAGGTTTTTGGGGCATTTTACATGGAAAAAGGGTGTTTACGGCCTAAGCATGTGCTTGGGCCGTAAACCCTTCTTAATGCCCTAAAACTTATGGTTTTTTGATGTTAAAACTCCTAGGTAAAACCCCTAACTCCTATCCAAGCTTATAAGAAGGAAATTTGGACTTTTTGGCACATTTTTGGTGTTTACGGCCTAAGGAGCTTCTTAGGCCGTAAACTCCTTTTCCATGTCCCAATCATGTGATTTTTGAGTTATAAAGACAATATTGTATGTTTAGAACAAGTTAGGGTTGAAGATCTTACGTTTAGGAGCTGGAAATTGCGGTTTTGGAGCCGAAAACGAGCTAGAGAGAGAAAGTAGTGAGAGAAAGAGAGAGAGAGTGTGTGTGTGTTTGAGTGATAAAAAGCTTTCAAGAGGTGTTCACTCTCCTTATATATGCCTCGGGTATTGCACCCGGTACACGACTACCCGATGCTAAAGTTTAACGGGGTTTAAACTTTTTACCCGGGTTAAGTGGTTGAATAATATAACTCTATTCCATTAAATGTAAATAACATTAACGGGTTATATTTAATTTACTATGATAATGATCACATGAAATATAAATAAATGATTAAATATCCATTTATTTTACGACTCCAATTTACGAAACTTTTGTAAATAATGTGTTCCGTTAGTGGAAACGGAATTATATAACGGATTAACGTTGGGTTGCCACAACTATATTAATGCGTTATAAAGATATGGAATTTCTGCTGAAAAATTGATTAATTTTCTATGTTTGGTTTAGCTGTGATAACCTACAATTAGTTATTATAGAATTCCAGACCTCTTTAATAATATTTTTTACATGATTTATAATATATTCTCTCCATGCTCTTTTAAACTAGTTCTTTTGACTATAATTTAAACTTATGAGTTGATTAAATCTAAAATTTAATGAATTTTGTTTAACTTTGCTTGGAAATAACTCTTTTATCTTATTTATATAACAAGTTGCAGGTCTTTTATGGTATACTTCTAGTGATGTTGTTGTAAGGGCGGACGATTGTTTGTCTAAAGGCAATATTAGCATAGACTACATGGGAATTGGGGGTCTTGTAATATAATGAAGTGTACTGAAATGAGGAGTAAAATTGGTAGTTTGTGAGCCGATCCAGCTGCAAAACGCTATAGGATATGATAAAGAGAGCTAGGGAGAAGGAGATTGATCTGGAGATGGAGAAGAAGAGGAAGCTAGATATTGTGTGCCGAGTGTTGAGGGTTCGAATAAGATACCAAGGTATATGATTCTAGATCGAGAGGGCATCACGGTCGGAGCCGCTGTGGTAAGTGTGGCAAGATGCACGAGGGAGTGTGCATAGTGGGTGGTTTTGGTTGCTTCAAGTGCGGCCAGACTGGTCATATTAGCAGAGATTGCACTGCTACCACCTAGGGATGTCAAAAACTCTTGTAGTACCCCGTTCCCGTGGGGGCCCCGTCCCGTTTGGGGGAATTTTAAAATAACAAATCAGGGGCGGGGACAGGGGAGGGTGCAAGGTTAACCCCTATTTTTAATTTCGGGGGTGGGGTCGGGGGTTGGTAATCCCGTCTCGAAACCCCCATGGGGTCCCCGTTTGTAAATTACACACACACATACACACTCACACACACACACACACATATATATACACACACACACATATAATAAACAATAACATGATTTGAGCTTCCAAAATTCATCAAAAACATGTTTTTAAGTTGTTAGTATGATGTTTTTAAGATGCCATACTTTTTTATTTTTAACATGTAAAATTCTGCTGTAAATAATTATTTGTTACCTAAAAAATAGTTTTTTAGCCTAAATAACAACTTCTTTTAGCCCAAAAAAGGTAACCAAAATCAATCAGGGGCGGGGGTGGGGTATTAAAGGGGATTCGGGGGTGGGGGTGGGGGTAGGAAGGTTGAACATTTCGGGGGTGGGGGTGGGTATGGGGGAACAGAGAAATTTCGGGGGGTGGGGGCGGGGGATGCACTCCTCGTCCGGTTTGCCCCCGTTGACATCCCTACTACAACCATCACCACATCGGTATATGATCTGATTTGCTTTCAATGAAATAAGAGTGGCCACAAGAAGTCCCATTTTCCGAGTTTGGATATAGCAGGATCAGTGTTAGCACCTGCTCCTACAACTCTTCAGATTACGGGCGGTCGTTGGGGCCGGGCAGACGCACCTTTGGTGAAGAGTATGGCTTCCCAATTGACGGTCGAGGAGGCACGTGGAGCTCCTGAAGTGGTGACCGGTATGTATCTTCTCCTTATTTCTTTATTTATATTGAATTATTGATTATGTTTATGTGTTTTATTTTAGGATCGTTCCTTGTGAACGACATTTCTGCCTTGGTATTGTTTGATTCGAGGGTTACCCAATCGTTTGTATTGCTTGCATTAAGCAAAAGATTCACTAGAGCTCCGCGGGAGCTGGATTTTCCTCTAGATGTTGAGATCGTTGATGATAGGTCTGTTCAGGTTGTGAGGGTTCATCGGGGTTGTATTATCCAGTTATTCAGCAAGCAATATCCGGGATTTGGTTCCCATTCCTCTACGTGGGAATAAAGAGATCGTGTGGTATGGATTGATTGAGCCCTAATAGGGAAGTGATCGACTGTGAGCAATAGTTGGTATGGGTTCGGACCCTTAGTGGGGGAGATATAGTAGTTCATGGGGGAGAGATCTTAACGTGGGCTTAACAACGAGGGCTAGATCCTATCTTCATCAAGGATGCTTCGGTTATCTAGCCTATGTCATGGATACTAGGGATAAGGGTAAGGCAACCGTGAATGATGTGTCGATTGTGCGGGATTACCTAGGTATGCTCCTGGAGGATTTTCCTGGGGTGCCTCCAGAGAGGCGGTGGAGTTCAGGGTTGATATGGTTTTAGGTGCGGCCCCGATAGCTAAAGAACCGTACCGGTTGGCTCCTCCTGAGATGTAGGAGGTGTTTACATAACTGTAGGAGCTACTAGACAAGGGGTTTATTCGACTAAGTAATTCGCCTTGGGGAGCACCGATTCTGTTTGTGAAGAAGAAGGACGGGTATCATCGTATGTGCATTGATTACCATGATTTGAATAAGGTAATAGTGAAGAACCATTATCCACTTCCGAGGATTGATGACCCTTTTGATCAGACTCATGGTGCATCTTGGTTCTCCAAGATTAATTTGCGATCGGGTTATCATTAGATGAGGTTCAGGGATGAGGATGTGCATAAAACCATTTTCCGGACTTGTTATGGTCATTACGAGTTCTTGGTGATGGCTTTTGGGCTTACCAATGCTCCAGATGTGTTTATGGATCTCATGAACCGTGTGTGCAGACCGATGCGAGATCTTTATCCATGGCGTGGTGAAGCCTGACCACGTCGTGCCGATAAACCTTTGACCACAAAGTTTATTGGACCAACACTGCGTGTTGGCAGCTAGTGGAGGAAACCCTATTTTTTAAGGTGTTGCACCCTATATAATCTCCTTAAGTCCCCAAGAGTTGTGCTCTTTATTAGTCTCCATTCTCCCAAATCGTCCTTTGCAACCCTAACCATCTTTCCTTCCCATTTTGAGCTAGTTTGGTGTTTTTGAAGCTAAAGAAGGAAGAAGGTATAAGTATGAAGCAAAGATCCAGCAAGCAAGCCCTCATTTTTCAGTTTGAAACTCTTTTGTACCTTTGCAACACTACTAGAAAACAGCCCTTTAATGACATGAAAAAATGACATGCACTGATAGAGGACACGCATTTGTGTATGCCCTAAAATTAGTGTCCAACAAAAAAAATTAAAAACACGGAGGGCACCTATCCTAAAAGGCGTCTCGTGTTACTATGTTGTTTTATGATTTTACTCTATGAGCGCGTGTTTTCCGTTTTTGAATAGCCAGGGGGAAATGAAATCCAACAAATTGAAAACCCCACCTGTTGCATCTCATCCTTCCACAGGAACGCTCACCTGACTTCGCCGATGACTCCAATTCCCCTCTACATTACTCTACCCCGATTAGACTCACCAGCACCACCATCTCTCTCTCTCTCTCTCTCTCTCTCTCTCTCTCTCTCTCTCTCTCTACAGTTCCCCTCCATGGTGCAGCCCACTACTATCATGCACCACCATCATGGTCATCGCAACTATATCTCACCACCTGCAACCTCAACACAATCGACCATCACCACCATTCTTACCATCCATTGCCGCCCTACCATCTTCTCCATCACCATCTCTTTCCTGTTCCATGTAAAACTCTAAAATCGGTACCAAAAGCTAATAGGTTTTGGAGAAAAAGTTGATCGAAGAAAAATGAAAGCAAATGACTTAGAACATGCTACCATATAGTCTTACAAAGCTACTCGTGTAGGTTATTTACTAAATTTTGTCTTCAATTCTAAAGATATTTTCTATAATTTGATTTATGAAGCTTTTACTTTGTATCATCGAGAGAATGCCAACAAAGAAATAACGTTGCATATATCTTCTTACAATCTGTGCAGGATCTATGACAATTTCACAACGTCCAAAAACTCTTGATGATGGTGCTATATAAGTTGTACGAAACTGGAAACCAATGCATACAAGGTAGAAAATATTGACTATGGTTCTTACTGTTGTATTGGAGTGTTCTAAAATTCTCTGTATTTTTAAGAAACTCTCCTTATTATGATAAAACATAATGTAGAAAAATAAAGGATCCACATATACAACAAGAATGCAAGATAACACCAGAAACTTGTTCCATATAAAAGTGTTTTGTCTTGAGGATCGTTTATTTTGTTAGATTTGTAGTTCATGATTTTTTTACCTATCTGCAGTCATCATTTTTATGAAATTAAAATGATTTCAAGATTGTTATAAGTGAAAATATATGTTCATCATCTGGGCATGGAAACTATTGTCAGGGTACAACATGTGCATATGTTCCAGACAAGTGCAACTGTTGCATATGCTTTTGGAGAACCATCACAAATTGAAACTTCTATACTATCTGCTTCTAACTTAAAACCTTCAGATAAAACTGGGGAAACGATGAAGCCAAACTTAAAGAAAGTTAAATATAATGCTTTTCAACCTCTTCAGAAGGGTGATTACATTAAGGAGCAGGTTATGTTTTTGAAAGTTTGGCCAAAATTTCTAAGTCCTTCAGACCTTCTTCTCACGTACTTAATTGATTTAGATGCAGTAGTTCGTGGATGACCAGAAGGGGTGCTCCTTCTATATTGAATCCACACCTTTTCATTATATTAGATGGATATGAAAAACTCGAATCCAGAACATTCAACCTAAATTAAAATGTTCAAGAATCAAATTGTTAGTTAAGAATGTTGAATCAGATTATGCTTCAGTAAATTTTAATGTCATCTTTTTTGGTTCTAGCTACAAGTAGCAAAGGAGCTGGACCTTCTATGTTAGAAGGGCGAAGTGGCTAATGGTTCAATCATGAAAGACTCACCAAAATTCACATATGGGGACTACCTTGCAGCTACCCAAAAGTATGGCCAAAAGGGGAAAAGATGCTAACTGATTATCCATCCAAGAGAGAGATAGACTCCCATATGTTGAAAGAGCAAGTGCATATTCTGGGAGAGATTTTCTAAAGAGTCATCTGTTTGGTTTGCTGATTCCATTGCTTTTGGTCATCAACATCAGGTTTTTGGTGCATGAACTTAATCTTTTTACATCAAATCTCTCCAATCAGTTTTGCGGATGTGTAACATTTGTGTAAATCTTGATATTTATGATCGTTTAGATGCAACATCAACACTACGCCAAGAACTTCTCCAGGCCCAGTCACTCTAGTCAGCATCAGCATTAGTCCCTCGAGGAAAAGACCCTCATGCCCCTATTGGAGGCCCCATAGTATTTTACCTTTCTAAAAAGTCAACAGAACGACTCTTTATCACTAGTATATCTACACTCATGCTTTTTTGTTCCTCAATAAAAAACTGAAAATAGAACTAGCGGCAGTTGTGATTCCTATCATAAAGGTCTATTCACATGGTTTCTTTTTTATTATTTTTATTTTCAGGTTATAGATGCTTGTGCTAAAGGAAACTTGGGTCATTTTATAAATCACAGCTTTCAACCAAATTGTCGCACTGAAAAGGTTAGTTTACTTGAATTCAGTTTATTTGAATATTAAAACATAAATTTACATTCTCATTGGAAAATATATGCTTGAATGTTGTTTAATTTGTCAACTTACTACTTAATTTGTGTTTTATCTGACCAGTGGATGGTTAATGGGGAAGTCTGCATTGGACTCGTTGCAATAAGAGATATTAAGAAGGTATGCACATCTTTTGTTGTATATTATTTGTTGTGATACATATATAAATGTAACTATAGTGTTATATCTTGCACGTAATGTCTACTATATTCACATGTCATGGTATATTATAGTTTTAAATTAAATTATGATGATAACACAGTTCCAATTAGGTCAACAGAAAGACAAATTTCCTTTGAAAGATGTTCATCAGAAAGTAAAATAGAGCAACATTCGGATACTTTTCATGCATATGGACCCAATATTACCCCTCCCCATACTTAAAATGCTTTCAGTTAAGTTTCTAATTATCTACACATTATTTCTTTTTTCTTTTTCATTTCTATTTTGCTTAACATATGGATACTCCGTGCTACTTGGTAGGTTCTATATCACGTGCTTGAGGCTGTAACCTCCTATCAAGGGTGTTGGACCAGCATTAAATGAGTTGTGTCTTGGTTTGCAATCTGAAGAAGTAGCACCTATATGTAGCATTTTAATTATTAGTGATGTAATCATATTTTTTTGATTCCCTCATAATCCTAACGTTTCTTGACATTTCTACCCTCAGGCTTTATCTGGTGTTTATGCGAAAGACCTTCATGTTAGACTAGCTTGTTTAAATGCTACAAAATGCATCCCAGCTATATCCAGCCAATCTGTTCCTCAAGATGTAGAAATTGCAACTATCATTTCGATCGCCTTACATGATCCCATGGTCATTTGCTCTGCTATTGGATCTCTATTACAATCACTTCCTTAGATAGTAAGATAATACACATCATTTTCTAAACGATAAGACAAGAACAGGAACAAGAAAACCCAGTTTCATATTCGAGTTTGGATTCTCATTTTTGGTTTTTTATAATCATTAGAAGGCGATGATGGAAGGGGGTTCCTCGGGGAAGAAAAAAAGAGCTGCTAAGAGACAAGATCATGACTTTGCACAGTTGATATTTTCATGGTCTCTAGATGACATACTCAATGACAACCTTTATGAAAACCAGGTTTTCCTTTACACAGTTGATCGTTTCTTTCTTTTTGGAGTTCTTGAAGTCTTTTGTTGTTTTATTCTTTTTTAGTTTCCTAGGTGAACCCATTCTCTATTTTCATACACAATGCATGTAACTTGGATCATTCCACCTTTGCTTACCCTTGTCTTAATTTTAAAATTGTAGTTGTTCTTTTAGATTAGCCCTTTCTTTAGGAAACCAATAGTCTATTATTTCAATCGGGTATCTTATCACAAAATTGAACTGAAACATTGGAATGTTTAGTTATAATTATGAAGTCCGTTTTGATTTCACATATACATCCAAAAGTTGCAGAGATCACATAAACTTCTTGAAAAAATTATAACCCGTTGACCTCAAAGTCAACTTTTTTTCATTTTGGGCTGAAAAAATTATAACCCATATATGGCATGAAGATCACTGATTATTTGTTTTTTGTGAAACATATTGTAACAACCCAAAGTTTATTCCGTTATATTAACCCGTTTCCGCTAACGGAATATGTCATTTTATAAAAGTTCCGTTAATTTGGGATCGTCAAATAAATGAATGTTTATTTATTTATTTATATTTTGTGGTTATTGTCGTTACAAAATAAATAAAAACTCGTAATTTACTCTTCCATTTAATTGGAAAAAGTTATTTTATTATTACGACCATTTAACCCGGGTAAATAGTTTAAACCTCGTTAAGCTTTAGCATCGGGTAGTCGTATACCGGGTGCAACACCCGATACTTATATATAGGGAGTTGAACACTTCATAGAAGCTTTTCACCACTCTAGATCCACTCTATGTCTACTCTCTCTCTCTCTCTCTCTCTAGCTCGTTTTCGCCTTAAAACCGCAAGTTTCCGCCTCCAAAACGTAAGATCTTCTACCCTAACTTGTTCTAAACATCATTTCTTGTTACAATAGCTCAAAAATCACACAAAATGGCCATCAAAAAGGAGTTTACGGCCTAAGAACCTCCTTAGGCCGTGAACCCCTAAAAAGATGCCAAAAGTCCCAAATTTCTCCCATTTGAGCTTAGAAACTAGTTGTAGATTTAACCTAGAAGTGTTTGAACCTCAAAACTAACAATTTTTAGGGCATAAAAGAGGGTTTACGGCCCAAGCACATGCTTAGGCCGTAAACACCCTCTAACCATGTAAAACAAGTCCAAAAAACACTTCCAAACTACCCTTAGACTTAAGATATGGCTTAGGGACTTGCCATTTCGGACTTGGAACATTTAAACACATACATTTGAGGGGTAAAATAGAGTTTACGGCCCAAGCATACGCTTAGACCGTAAACTCCCCTAAATCATGCCAAAGGACCCATTAAACCCCTAAAAAGCCTTATAACCTTTACTAGAAATTGTTAGAAATTAAACCAAAGGCCTAGAAATCAAGGAATGCGGTGTACAAGAGTTTACTACCATAAACCCTAGGGTTTACGGCCGTAAACTCCCAAGGAGTGGCCTTTGGGCCGTAAACTCCAAGGGAGTATACTCTTGGACCCTTAAACACCCCTATAGCCTTGTATAATTCCTTAGAACCATTTCCGAATCCACATGAAACTTGAAATCATTCAAAAACACTCCTCCCATGAGTTTACGGCCGTAAACTCATGGGGGATGTGGCCTCCCAACCGTGAACTCACTTAGAGTGGATTTTAGGAGAGTAAACTCCAAGGTGAGGTCGTATACTTTTTCCATACAACCCATTAACCTTCTAGCACTCAACCATAAGACCTGTAATCACACTAGGATGTCTATATGTTTTAATAAGAGTTTAAATTACTAATTACTTGTAAACATATGTATTAATATGTTATTAGGGTCATAAAGGGTGTACAAGTCCTTACTTGACACCAAACGCTCATCCGACGCTCACACCCGATCTACTCATTTCAGGTGAGTTCATACCCCTTAATGAACCTTTTAAACGTTTTTACATTTTTTTTTCGGGGGGGGGGGGGGGGGGGATACAAGTACATTACTACGTGTTTTAGTATCAAATTATATGTGATTTACAATCTTTTATCAAAAAGGGAATTCTCTACAATTTTAGATACTTATCAATAAAACTGTTTTAACTAATTATCAAATGCGCTTTTAAGGTTAAATTGCTGTTAAACTATTTTCAAAACTATGTTTCTACTACTTTTCTTTTTAAAATATATCTACATTAATATATTTATATAAATAAGACTTGAAGGACTTAGGACCGATAGCCGGCCTTATTTCATGCTCTTGTTTGATGTGGTTTTAGGGTATTTGTTGTCCGTCCGACTGTCGTTGAATTCTTAATTATATATCATATATATTTGTGTTAGATATGCATGTTTTTATCTTATTCATTACTACTGTTGATCAGAAGCAGGAATTCACATACTCTATTTAACTATAATAGGTATAGTTAAGGTTACTACTAGGTATCGCTACTACTATTATACACACCATAAACTGTTAATATTACACGCTAATGCAAGTATAAGAGAACACTCTACTTACTATACTAAAAGTCTATCATACTAAAGCATAAGCGAATTCTCTAATACTAAGTATATCACACTACCTCTCTATAAGGCACTCTACTATACTTACACCATGTGACCAAGGCGTCCCGAGAGGAAAGCCACACTATATGTATAGATCTATACGGAACTGACACTATTACATCCTGATTGTTATCTACAGTCCGAGCCGACTAGGCGCACGGGTGGCACTACACTACTTCACTACGCATGACCGGGAAGGTCATCGGTACTCTACTACTTCACAATTGGTCACATGAGAAGTTAAACTTACATTCAAATAAATACACTAAGACTTAAAGTCTGAACTAAAATCCCGAAGTAATTAAAGATCTATTACTAACTAAAGTTACAACACTACTACTGTTAGCAAGCATAACTTTTCTTCAGCCGTATTACTTACATGAGATTTATTTCTACACTTTTACAATTGAAGGTTTCAACAACATTACTTTTACACACTAGAAAGATTGACTTACAAATGTACTTTCTGGAAAATATAGGATTTTCCAGGGATTTCTACTACTCATTAATACAAATTTCAGTTTTATACTATAACTTTGCAAACACTTTTATACTACAATGACACTAAACTCTTATTAACTCACTAGCTTTATGCTAATATTCGTTTTTAAAATAACTTGTATCCTCAGGTCAAAGATAGATAGGTATAGGGCAGTTTTTGGAAGAAGATGGAGCATATACAAGACTCATCTTTTATTTTGTTATACTTTTGGTGTCTATTAAACTTTACAGAACACAATTGTAACTATTATCACTATATATATGAAATGGTTGTTGTTTCTTGTTGTTACTATTATGCAATTTTAATGATATTGTACATGACGTCCTCCACCCCAAAACGTATTCTGCCGTTCTCGGTTTTGGGGTGTGACACATATGCATAAACTTTTTTTGTGATTTCCTCATAAGTCATTACTATATGTTGTTTAAATAAGTTGTTTGGCTTTATCTTTTTAGATCACATCTCCATCACATGATTCTTTCTTGTGACTTGATGCATCATTTGCAGGTGGATAAATTACCACTTACTTTCCAATATGAAGAACACTACTTTCGTTCTTTTATGTATCCTTTGCTTGAGGAAACACGTACTGAATTGGCTTCCAGTATGAAGATGATGTATAAAACTCCATTTTCTGAAATTTCTTCTTTTAAGAAGGCCAAAGGAAAAGAGAAAATGATGTATGATGTCATTGTTGGTAATTGGAGTAACACTAAACTCCGAAAAGATCCTTATCATACTTTACCTGGCGATCTGCTTATTTTAACAAATGGAGAACCCGAATCTGTTTCTAATTTACAGAGTTTGGGCAGTACATGTGAACCCTGGATTTAACAAATGGAGAACCCTGGATTCTTGGCAAAAGGTATTTTACTACATGTGTATTAAATTTTAATATTTTATAACATAGATTGATGATGCATGAAGCCTTTCTGAATACTAATGTGTTGATGATGAAAACAGGTATCATGTGGAAACAGAAGCATAACACTAAGAAGTAGAAACAATAAGGTGTTCCTTAATAACAATGTAGTATTGGGTTATATAGTTAGGGGAAACCTCTTAATAACAATGTATAATCAGATCCCCTTAATACTAATGTATTACAATTTTTTGACATGATGTTATTGGATGAAATTGATTGTTTTGGTATATATTTGTTTCCATATTTTTATATTACGTGTAAATGAGTATCGATCGTAAAGACGCTTCGTAAATGTATATCGTAAATGGTTGCTGAAGTTTATGACACGCAAATTCGTGTCGTCTTCATTTATGGCAGAGGCTTTAATGATATGCAATGCGTGTCATAAACGTGCGTCATAAGGTTACAACACACAAATGCGTGTCATCTTCCTTTATGACAGGGCCTTCCTTGACATGCAATGTGTGTCGTAAATGCGCGTCGTAAATGTGTGTCGTAAATAGACGACGTGCAAAAGCGTGTCGTCTTTCGTTATGAAAAAGCCTTCCTTGGCGCGCATTTGCATGTCATAAAAGAATTTTTTGTAGTAGTGTAAGTGTCCAAGACTCGATTTTATCAGTCCGGGTTGTTAGATCTTGAGTTTTATCCCTTTAGTTTCTTGTTCTTGAATATTGGAATGGTAAGATCTCATAAAATTTGCAACTTTATGGATCTCCAAGTCAAGGTGATCTAGTAGTGTCTTGGATCTGGTCTTTAATCAAGTTTTGAAGCCATGCACAGAGATTAGATCATAAATCCTCATTTTGACCTAATATGGGTTCAATACATTCATTGGACACGTATGTCTAAAAAGCGCCAACCTTTGAGACGGTTTGGGTGTTAGAATCACTTCTGGAAAGGGTTAAGTTTGGACTTTAAGGATTAAGTGTTTATTGGTTAAAACCTAGCATTATCAAGCTTTATGGTTTGGGTTTTGGACCCTTTTGGTAGTCCTAATGGATAAACTTGGAAAATTTATCCTTCTAAATCTCATTTTAGTCTAGATCTAAGCTTTGGAGCTCTTGGATTCAAAGAAAGCAGCTTAGTGTATCAAACTGTTGGAACTCAGGCAACCACGACATGTTTGCTAGTCAACACGGTGTGTTGGTTGGGGTTTTCCTGACTATTTGGATGATGGTGAAACACGACGTGTTGGGTCAACATTGACTATTGACCTTGACTTTGACTTTTGTCTTTAACCAAGTTTGACCTAAGGGGCAGGGTGTTGAGGTATTTTGAGTTGTATCTAAGGATTGGTTACTATTTAGATGGCGAGTAGAGTTGATATTTGGAGCCGAGACCTATTCAAATATCGCTCAAATTCAGAGGTGAGTTTCCTCACTATGTTTGGCGGGTTGAAGGCACCAATGTTGGCCCATGATTATGTTATGTTAGTATGCTAGTTGTTTACGTGACTCTTTCATGTGTTATGTACTTGTATGTTTGCCGGGAGGGGTCCAATGACCATGTTGTATGCTATGTATCTTTGTGATTATTGCATGTGTATGTGTTTATTTGTTATATGTATTATGAATGTTGGACGAGGCTTGATCTGTTTACCAAGTGGGACCTATTATATGTTTATTATGTATGGTATGTGGTATCTTGGCGAACTCACTAAGATTTGTGCTTACGGTTTTCAGTTTATGTTTCAGGTACATCCAGTTCTAAGGGGAAGGGCTCGGGATGATTGCAGAGCACACACCACATCTTTCCGTTGTTGGAATTTTACTCTGTTTGTTATGATGTTTGATACATTATTTTTGTTTGGCATGTATCGACGATATTTTGGAAATAATGGTTTTATAAAATTAAAAATGAAATTTTCGGGTCTTATTTTTGGGCCGTTACCAAAATGCTGATGAAATTCAGGAAGACATTATATACAATCAATAAGAAACTATTTTTAGAAAAGATTGAACCGTACCACGAAAATCAAAAAATTTAGCGATAGGATTAGTTTTGAATTAATCAATAGTTAAGAAATTACATTAGTATCCTGCTGAAAATTAGTAGGAGTTTGCTGTTGGAAGTTTCATTCGTTGGTTTGCTAGCTAGCTGTTGGCAGGGCCGGTTTTGAGGAATTAAATATCCTCAAAGGCCCAGGACAAACCATAAAAAAAAGGACATTTCGTTATTATAAGTTTTTTGTTAATATATACATACATATATATATATATATATATATATATATATATATATATATATATATTAAAAATCAGGCTATGTGCAGATGACCACTTTGCCCCCTCCACGCCGCCATGGTTGTTGGAAGTTTGGTTCCTTTGTTCGGTACTAAAAAAAGAGTTTGTTGTTGATCTTATATATATATATATATATATATATATATATATATATATATATATATATATATATATATATATATATATATATATATGAGTGTGGTTGTGTTTATGTGATTAAATATCATGAACAATTAAATACATGTTGTAAGCAATGTTTCTGCCAGAATTGAATATTTGAATTTCAATTATGTTGGAATGGAATCACGAATTCCGTAGGAATTAAATCTTGATATTTCCTCTGTGATTTGTGTATTTTCTACAATTCTTGGTTATGAGTTTTGGTGCAATTCACAAGTTCGCAGATTTGTACAATGGACTTTAGTTTTTTTCATTTTGGTAATGAATTATTCTTTCAGAATGACTTCAAGAAGGATTTAATGATTGATCATACAAGAGGTGGACTTGTAATTGAGTTCAATAACAAGTTACATTGAAGAAGATTAAGTATAAACAAGTCGATTATTTGGACAATTGAAGAAGATTAACTGTATTTGTTGAATAATTGTATATTTGAGAATGTTATTCTAAAGAATTATATTCATTTTGATGACATTATGTTAGAATATTTACAGTTATATTAAAATGTTTTAGTATTTAAAATTATTTATGAATTTGTATTTAAGTTCGGATGTGTATGAATATATTAGAATGTTGTTATTACTCAATTTTAGATTCAAGAATTTTATTAGTCTTTTTTAATATTCTAATAGAATAACATTATGAAAAACAATATAGTAGAACATCATTCTAACAGAATAACATGCTGACAGAATTTAAATTGAATTAACTAAAAAAATCAGAATTCAAAATTATGATAAAAAAAATCCATTAAAATCCGAAAATTTTATTTTAAAATTTGTGTTTCCTAATTTGAAAGTAATTGAAATGTACATTTTTACCCTTCTTTTTATTAAATGGTATTATTCTGTTTTTTTAATTTAATAATATGGATAAATATCTTTCTTAAAATAACTAAAATGATTTGTCCACAACTATTACTACATCCATATAATAATTAGTTAGAATACAATAATCTAAGCGGACACACACACACACACACACACACACACACATATATATATATATATATATATATATATATATATATATATATATATATATATATATATGGGGTTACGGAATATGTGGTTGTTTGGTATTTAAGTTTAGGTGTGGAACATGTAAAACTACGTCATTTTGGAGGAAAATAAATTAAGAGAATAAGTTATCTTCATTGTATGAATTACTTATTCGTTCCATCAAGATTTGGCTTCTAGATTTTTTGGTGTCTTCCTCCCTTTGTCTTTGATGTTGGCTTTCTTTCTTCTCAATCGATATGTTTTTCCTTCAACTACGCTATGTCTCTTATTTTGGTCTATAAATTGTTGTTATATGTTCGATTTCGTTCCTCTTCGTTTTGATTCCGTAACACCCATAAAAATCAGACCAAATTCAAACTTTTTAAAACATTTAGAAACCAACAGTTATTACCAATTTGTTTTCAAAACAGTTATATATTAGAGTATCCCAGAAACATGGTCATAAAATGTGAGGAGCTGTATGATCATGCCTTTGCCTTTCTGCGATCATCTAATGTACCTGAAACAATAAACTGAAGCTGTAAGCTCGAGCCTTAGTGGGTTCCCCCAAAATACTGATACACTGCACATAACACATATACAAATAACAACTTGTATTGGGTCCACAACCTTACAGACTGGATTACACCTAGGCCCACAGTGTGAGTCTAGATTGCCTCCCGGGCCCACAACTCACATCTGGATTGCTATCGAGCCCACAGTACGAGTCTCCCTCAGCTCATATCTGGAATGCTCACGGGTTTGTTGGTTACCACACAGAGCAGTATCACCTTAACCCATCCACATAATATGTCAACATATAACACAACTAATGCATATACAAATAATCACATGATACTACAGGTAGTCCTATAGACAGACAAACCGATCTAACAGATCATAACAACATAGCAACATCCTATCTACCAGGATACTGATCAAACGGATCACAACAACATATAACATCCCATCTACTAGGATACTGATCTAACAGATCATACAATACTCGAACATAACAACATATCAGGATGGATATCCAAAAGGGCCGACCTTGGTGCCTTAGACCCTTGTGTATAGCGAGGAAAACTCACATGACACTGCTGAAGTCCCGCGGAAGAAACTCCAGCTGCTGGTTGACAGGTTCCCGAACTACCAACATCAAACAATACCCAATTAATAATTGGGTTCCAAGCGTAAGGTCTAACTCACACTCTAAAGGCCCAATAGTTAAGTAATGGGCTAAAGCCCAACATATGGCCCAATTTTCCAAATTGGGCCCAGACCTCTACACGGTCTTTCCTTAAGTCCCATCCATTAATTCTAGTCCAAACTATTGGTATACTAATGGCCTAATATCTCATAATCATAAAGGCCCAGTTATGGCCCACCTATGGCCCAATTTTCCAAATTGGGCCCATGTCCTTCACATGGGCCTTACCCTATAATTCATCCAATTATTTTGTTCCATTTACTTTTTCTTGGATAGCCCATCAATATTCCAACCACCAAGGCCCGATAGGAAGGCCCAAATTAAGGCCTAAGTGAAATTAGGGTTTTCACATGAAATGATGATTAGGGTTAAGTGTTTCTTACTTAACCCATTAAGGACTTAATCCATTAAGTCCAATATTACCTTAGGTTAATTTGCCAATGATTCTTATTTAATATTTCAAGTTTATTAAATAATTCCCGTGTGTCCCTATCAATTCCCAAAAATTAGGGTTTTATGCTATTAGGGTTTCCCAAACCCTAATTAGGGTTTTCCAACCCAATACTAGCCCATTAGTCAATTGGTTGGGCTTTTAGGTCACTTTGGGCCTCATTGGGACCATTAAGGTTTCATTGGGCCCATTCTGTCCAAGCATCCCAAACGAGTCAATACGTAAGCTAGGCACACCGCCACCCAACATGGCTGCTGGTGGCGGCAGCCACAACCTTATGATGGTGGTTTAGAGTTTTCTTACTATTCTGATCGAT